CTCTGGAGAGGCCTGATTTCAGCTCAATGGCCGGAGAAGTCGCTGGAACAATTTCCTACCTAGTACCGTAAGCCCTAACTACCCACCGGATTGGCCTGACAGGTCCTACCTGCATTTGGTAAGAGTTGGGGATAGGGCCCCGGTGGAGAGCAAGACCAAGCTGGCTTCCCGGGGTGGCTGGTTCCGGTCCTGCCCACCGCCCGGCCCTGTGCAAGCTTGTTTTAATGCAGCACCTCCAGGCTCTCATCCCACAATGCAGTGCTCATCTGGCAGCGGGTGAGCTGAAGACTAAACAGTTGGGTACGTTTCACGAGTGGTACCCAAGTTTGGAAAAAATCCGTTTCAACACGGCTGCCAAGATTTGGCAACCAGAGAGTTGCAGGGAAGCAGCAGGCTGCTAAACCCTTTCACATTTTTAATTAGATCCACACACCCATGTCTTTGAGCTATCATAAATATACAGATGACATAGAGAGTATTATTTGGGGTTTGAAAAAAAAAAGGCAGCAAACTGTACAGTGGTATACCTTACCTTATTAAAATAACCTACCCCTCACTAGTTGGGGGGCTAAGGAGGAAAAAGAGTGGGTCGAGATACTTGCACAGGTAGAACTGCGCCTGACTAGAGAATGCACCAGGATCTGAAAAACATGGGTCTTGGGCCACCCTGTTGTCATCCTGGGCTTTGAGAACATCACCAGAAGAGGGCATTCTTGGCAGCTGCTCAGTCTCTGCAGCCGGGAACTCAAGGGCAGCGTGTTTGAGGAGTTGTCCTTAAAGCCACCCCCAGCTCTTTTTCTTGATGATCATCTTAATGTCGCTGCAGAGCTGTGACGTTCACTCCCCTGTCCTAAAAAGCAACAGTTTTGGCATTTAGCATTGCTCTAATATTTTTACCACTTTCTCTCCTTCTCTGTTCTGTCTTTGGGTATTTTCCACTGTACATTTGTGCTGCTTCTGATTTTTCTAAATCTTGTGCTGCTACGGTTTTCATTTCTCCCACTCAGAACCCGCTGTCCCCTGTACTCAGCTCCGGGGAATTCTATAGTTGAGAAGGAGAGCAAATTCAAAGCTTGAACTAAACAGTTCAGGGCTCCAGCTCTGGCTCTGCTGTGTGGCCTTGGATATATGATTTCAAAGTCCTTCTCTTTGGTTCTTTCTGAAAGATCCCACAACAGTTCTAATCTCATAGAATGACTTTTGTAGTTAAACACAGTCGTATATGCAAAACTTATAGCACAGTGAGCACCCAACGCCTAATATTTCATTATCATTGTTACTATTAGTGGGGTGACCTGTGGTAGTAGCCAGCATGCCTTTTGAGACTCAGCTAGCGAACACCACTGCCACTACAACCGTGCTGGTTCTTCCTGGAATTCTCCTTCCCTGCCTTGTATCTCCTCTCCTTTGGAACAAGGACTGCCCATGCTTCTCAGAGAACTACCTTTTGTCTAATTAACTTGCTGCAAGCTGAGGGTGAGCAGAGTTGGACCCAGGCCTGTGCATCGGAGTGCACTCCCTTCATTTTAAAGACATGTTAAGAAGGAAATGAAACACTTGATATGCCAGGAAAGAAGTCTCTCTGGTTGTCCCATCTGAGAACATGACATTTATAAATAGCACCATGGCAAGCATCTAACATGTCCTGCATGAAGGCATCAAACTCATTGTCACGTTGTGCCGCCTGTTTGTGGTGAGCTCTGAACACCCTCCAGATCCTCCCAGAGAAGACCAGAACCTGTTGTGGACATCCGGCTATATTTGTTCTTGGCCCTGAGACTTGAAAATAGACCGTTTTACTGGGGCAGTCTTTCCTTCATACTCTCCTGTAAACAGGACTGCAAGGCAGAGATGACCTGGGCCGGCTGAATGGGCTGGAGATAATTCTAGGCCCTGTGTGTGCCTTCTAGCTGATGCAGCAGCTGAAAACAGACAGTGGCGTGGGCCTGGGCATTCTCATCCCCCTGCAATCCCTTTCTCCAACTCCTCAGCTCTTTCTCCACCCCCTACCCCGCCCCACCAGCTCCAGGGAATTCCCTTTAATGAGAAGAGAAAGAATATGAGCTACTCACGCATACACACATGCGCGCGCGCACACACACACACAGACACACACGCTCACACAGATAATGAAAACAGTACCATTGCATGAGGAACGTGTCACCTGGAAATGAAAGCAGCAATCGCTGCCACAGCCACAGATGACAGAGCGGCAATGGGCCCAGGTTGAGTCCTAGGTACCTCCAAGGTCCTAATCAGGCTCCGATGGGAAGAATACCGCTGCTCATTATCAGTTATTTCCACAAGAAGCAGCATCTAATTTCCATGAGAGTAAAACAATCTATAATCTGGATAATGCCCTTCCTGGAGCAGAAGGTGTCAGACTGAAGCTAGAGACAGCCATGTTCTGAGACATCACTGGCTGCCCCCCACGTGTCATCCCACCAGTGCAGTGAAGGCCCCGGGCACTGCCATGCCTGACCCACCCAGTGCCTTAGATAGGGTGGGGGTGGTGGGCAGGGGATTGAGTGAACTCATTCAATGCCTTTAGTCTGCACAATCTGCTTGGGTGGCTATAACAAAGCACCACAGCCTGGGTGGTTTAAACCACAGCATTTCATTTTCTCACAGCCCTGGAGGTGGGCAAGTCTAAGGTCAAGGTTCTGCCTGATTTGGTTTCTGGCGAGGACTCTCCCTGGTTTTAGACATCCATGTGGGCTTTCCTTGGTGTTATGATTAGGGACAGAGAACATTCTGGCACTTCTTTTAAAAACACTGATTCTATTGTTCTGGTTTAGATAATACTCCCAAAGATTCATCTTTTGGAATTTGCTCTCGGGGGAGAAAATGGGCCATGTTGAGACTCAGTTGTATTATAAAAGTGTTAAGTGAAAACCTGGTCCCTTCATGGTGTTGAAGGATGGGATCTTCAGGAAGAGATTAGTAACCGGTGGCTAGGGGAGAGCCCCCATTACTGAGTTCTGGTGGGTGTATAAGGGGAGGAGGGGGTGCAGAGGAGGGAGGCAGAGGCCATGTAGATATAGGCCATGCTCCATGAAGCTCTGCTTTGTACCCTTTCTTGATGCCTTTGGACTTTCCAGCCACCAGAACTGTGAATCAATCAATCTCTGTTTCTCTCCAAATCATCCAGTCTCAGGATTTCTGTTAACAATGCAGAGAAGAGATGAGATAATATGTACATAGTGCCTGGCCCAGGGAGGTACTAAAAAAATTGGCAATAAATAACAGCTATTAATAGTATTCATTATTCAATATCATTATGTCTTAACACCACTCAGCCAGCCTTGTCTGACCTTATAGCTGTGAATTTACACGTTCTCTGTGCTCCTGCTCGGATCACCTACCTTCTATCAGCAATGCTTACTATGCGTCAATGAAACTTACAGGAAGTATAATAATATGTAACAGTGTTTTCCATTGGTTCAGAAGAAATAAGGTACTCACTCCTAAAGGATAACTATAAGTATCTATAATTTCTTCACTGTGAGAATATTTGCATTTGTCATTGATATTATGTATTAACACATTTATAACCTTAGTTGAAATTCTTGCTTAAGTGATCAGCAGGTGATGTGGTAGTTAAGTCACTGGACTTCCACATAGCTGACCACGATTACAGTCCCTGACCTGGAGGCTTGAAATTCATGCTGGTTGTATGTATGTGTGTGCCCAAAATCCCAGAAGGAAAATGGAAAAGAAGGGATTGTGGTGTGGCCATTTCTCCTGGGGGTGATATCTCATTTCCCTTCTCAGTCTCTCTCTGTGTAAGTGAGCACATTTACCTTATGGTAAAATCCTTAAAGAGAAAGAAAGAAAGAAAGAAAGAAAGAAAGAAAGAAAGAAAGAAAGAAAGAAAGAAAGAAAGAAAGAAAGAAAGAAAGAAAGAAAGGGAGAGAGAGAGAGAGAAAGAAAGAGAGAAAGAGAGAGAGAGAGAGAAAAAAAAAACTCTTACGAGAAAGAGAGAGAGAGAGAGAGAGAAAAAACTCTTACATAAAGTAAAAGTCTTTCAGGGAAAAAGAAACTACTATTTTACAGCTAAGGAGCCTAACATTGAAGGAAGCAAGGTCACTCTACTAAAAGGTGGCAGAATCCAGGTTCTAACAAAGAACTATACAGTTCTAAAGGCCATACTTCACACCTTTACTTTAGTCAGTAATTTCAACAATGCTGCGTAACAGACATCCCAGCTCAGATGCTTGTCATACTAGGTTTTTATTCTCATCTTTATTGCTTGGCTTACTGGGCTTCTGTTGAGCTATATGTAACTCAACAAAATGGGTTTGTTGCCTGGGAATGATTTTAAGCTGTATTTTGAACTGATGTCCACTTGATGTGTCTTTTATTTGAGCCTCAGACTTAAGGTGTAGCAGCCACCCCAGTCACGTGACAGCACAAATCCAGAGAAGAGTGAACACATCTAAAGCCTCTGGTTGCATTACATTCAAGGCATTCAGGTGGCTAATAAAAGGCACCCAGTCAAACCCAACATCAGGGCGTAGAGAAGTATACTGTGCACAGTGGGAGGAGAGCAAAGTTTAACTGAACAATAATCCAGACTATGAAGAGTACCCTATAAAGAAGGACAAACAGAAACAACCACCACACCTCCTTTATTGCAGTATGTACATTCCCACTAGGCCTTTCTAGTGGTTGACAGTAGCATCCACCTGACTGGTCATGGATCAGCCCTGCATGGTGAGTGCCCAAGCCTTACTGGCTTTAAAGTATTGTGGCTATTACTTTGATTACCAATATCCAAGATGACACAAGAAGATACTTACCTCTTGGGACTGTGACACACAGGAATAAGGAACTTTTACTCCCAGTCCACGGATCTCACAGCAGGGTCCTAGCCTTGCTAGAACCATAAAGTGGCTACAGATTTCTGAGTAATGGGCAGTAATATAAATTGCATCCCTGATGCTCCCTTAAATTGTGACCTTAGGCAATGGCATGACCTCCCTGAACCTCAGATCTCCAACAAGGAAGCTCATGGTACTCTCCTGAAATGTGGACCACTCAGTGAGTGAAGGTCAGTCAACCCAGGGCCTCTGATTTAGGGTATGTGCCACTAACCTATCTCTCTCCTCCTTTTGCTTTACTGTTCATCAAACTCAAGGATTGCCAGAAATAACTGCAATTTCTTACAGTTCAACTTAACAG